CCTTCCTTGCTCTTTCTTCTCACCTTCCCATTTTTTATTTGTTTTTCTTCTTCTTTAAATTGGACTTATTGCAGATTATCCCTTTAATTAAATATTCTTTCTTTTCTTTCCCATTGTTTCATATAACAAAAAGTTTTAACAATAAAAATTACCTGATTAGTTTATTAATTTGTATAAGGAAGAGCAGAGATACATAGTAATCTTTAACTATCACTGACTGGGATTCAGAGATTATATTTTTAATTTTACCACTATAGCATTACTTTTATGATTTTATGAGTTGTTTGTAACATGGAATATTTAAGATCTGGGTTTTCCTACTAAGCACATAAAAGTTTTGTCCAAAGCAAATTTTTTTTTTGGAAAGATCTGGGTGGATAAAATTTACATAAGTGGCCATTTTCAAATGTGCAACAGGTATAGTTAGATTTTCTAAATTGATTGATATATCCATTTTTCATTCAGGACCAAAATGAAGTATACATAATGCTCCCTTTTTGCTGGAATGCCTCTGACTCGCCTCCTTATAATTATCAGCTGGGATTACCCACTTAGAAAAGAATGGAATCACTGTAAGACTGTGCCCCCAATTCCCAACCCTTGCAAATGACCCATAAAAATACTATGATCAACAGTATTTAAGGCCTCTGAGAGATACAGCTGGACAGGATGGTAGATGATAAGATTTTAATAGCTGTTCTGACACGCAGATGACAGGATATTCTTTCAGCTGTGCTACACTAAGTTGAGGCTGATATATCAAGCCACATCAAGCTTCTGATAATATCAGACTTAATTGATATTTTTGATTTCATATTTTAGTTAAAGTCGAGCAGCTATAATATCTTTGGACAATAAGAAAGCCTTTGATAAGGTGATTTTTAGTTTTTTTTAGTTTTTTAGTGATTTTTGAAGTGGATGTTGAATGGATGGAAACTGTTGAATGGATGTAAAGTTCTTTATTTTGACTGATATGAGTTATTCAACTCCTAAATCATGGGTGATTATTTGTGAAGTGCCTTCTCTTTAGATCAATGGATATCAAGGTATGGGTCAAAGATACTGTCTTTTTCTTTTTGTCCAAATTAATTAAAAATGTATACAACTGCCTTAAAGGAGCAACGCACCTTCAAAATGAATCAGCGTGGAACATTTTTTAAAAAGCGAAAAAAAGAGTGGGGCAGAACGATGGCAAAAAATGACACCATATTCTCAAGAATATTATTTTTTTATCCATGGTTAAAAAAAGACTAATTCAAAGGTTGAGAGCAATGCAAATTAACAAACCATTGCTACAAATTATCTGTAGATTTCTCCTTCCAGTACTGAATTTGTATTAGAAAAACAATGAAAAATTAAAAAGTATTTGGAAAGTTAAAACAAAAATCTTATAAACTATCTTGGACAAATAATTGAAGCAGTATAAATTGTTCATCCTCAACCATTTGAATTCTTGGTTGAAGTGGAAAGCCCTGCATTATTATTAATTTTTGCAGCTATATTTGACAGCAAATAGTTCCTGAAAGAGCAAAAATCCAAAATTTATTGGACAACAATGGCTCTGTTGAAGTAATGTATTTTCACCGCGAGTTAGTTTTCATTGTTACAATAACTATTAGCCATGAGTTGCATATTTGCAGGCCACAGTCCTCAGGATACTAGAAATAGAGGGGACTAGCATCTTCTGTAGGGACATCTCTTGCCTCTTAAGAGCTGGATGAAAGAAGAATTTCTGCAGGTGACACTTTCCCTGAGAAAAGCATACAGTCAGAATGAACCATCTCATCCCTAAAAATGAGTGGTTTGGAAAAAGGGTTCATCCTTCGCATTGCATCAGTTTCATGTTGTAAGAATTACCTTCATTCAGAAAGAAAATACTTTTCTTTCCGCTGCTTGCTGCAGGGCTGGTGTAGAATTTAGCTGTTAGTAAGCCAAAATAGATCCCTTTTATTTTTTAAATTTAACGTTGGAAAAACACCCTATGGGAAAACCCCTCCCTCCCATGATTATAGTCTTGTTGGTAGACTCAGCACTCCTGTTGCCCTTTACAGGAAGGCAAGCTGAATTTGTCCTGTGCTGTGCCTTTTCTGGCTTTTCATGTGATCTGTGGGTTGCATTCACATCAAAATTCACCGTAAACAGGTAACCGCTGTTTACCACGATGACTGAATGCTTACATAAGAAAACTATGAATTCTAACAGCAAGAAAGTTGGGGTAGATCTCTGACTGGTGGCATTATAGGACACAGAATACTTGTTTGGGTAGGTTAATGCAGATTTAATTTGCTTCTTCTCTTCCTATCATGTTATCTGCTACGGTATAGTTATAAATCAACTGCAAAGGGAACTTCAATTTGGCAAAAACAGGCTGTCCACATGCTATCAGCAAAGACGTAATCCACCATGCACCCTATAATCTGTAGGATATAGACATCTTCGTATTTCTTCTCCTTCTCTTCCTCCTTACATACAGTTATTTTGTTTCTGGGAAAATACGATTATTTTCCAGAAAGCTGGCTTGTCACGTGTCCCTGCACTATTCCCTGAAATTGTGGTTAAGCCACACCACACACACTCTCATCCCCCTGCCCCTTTTATTAAATGATAAAGAAATGCTGTCTGAGTCCTATGCTATACATGTTTGTGATGCCTGTTCTGAGCATCACAGTCCAAAAAGGACAGTGACAAATTGGACCAAGTTCAGGGAAGGGCTATCAGGATGGTAAAAGATCTGGAAACCAAGCCCTATGAGAAAGAGTTAAATGATCTGGGCATATTTCCAGCTTACAAAAAAGATGTGGTGGTGGAATATGATACCTGAAGGGTGGCATAAGAAAGGAAGTGGAATTATTCTCTACTGTCCCAGATGAAAGGACCAGAAGTGATGGGTTAAAATGAAAGGCTCAGGATACACATCATGAAAACTTGGCCGATGCTGCCATATAAAGTGGTAAGTTCTGTACTACTCCTCTTGTGCCTTTCAGTCAGCTTTGACTCCTGGTGACTGCCTGGACTAGTCCCTGCAGTTTTCTTGGCAAGGTTTTTTGGAAGTGGTTTGCTACTGCCTGCTTCCTAGGGCTGAGAGGGGGTGACTGGCCCAAGGTCACCCAGCTGGCTTTGTACCTAAGTGGAACTAGAACTCACAGTCTCCTAGTTTCTAGTCTGGGGCCTTAACTGCTACACCAAACTGGCTTTCTTCTGTACTAGAGGTCTAGACTCTATGGTCATCTGTCAAAGATGCTTTAAATGGAGTGTTTCTCAACTTTAAGGTGTGTGGACTTCAACTTCCAGTATTTCCCAACAAGCAGGTCTTCTCCTGACATTCTTCCTGATAGGAGGGGACACTCAGCGGGTGTTCCTTACTCATTCTTTGAAGTCATGACAGTCCTGGAGTTAAAAAGGGACATCAGAAGACCAATGTTTGTGAACCTTTCCCCATTTCTACCTAACCATGTTCAGCAACCTTTTTTTCTGCAATATCCTTCATCTCATCCCAGCTCCAATCTTAGGCAGCCTTAAGTGGTCCTTAGTTGTTCCAGTTTTAAAGTAGTGTTTTCTCCCTTATGCAGGCCACAAGCTGCAACAGCTTTGCTGTCCATGGATACAATCTGCTATGCTCTACCAACTCTTCTGTCTGCAGCAAAGTCAGACGACCCCTGAAATGTGGGATTGCCCAATTTTTATCAACTGCTATATCTGGCTTGGATATGTCGTGTCTCCACCTATCCCTTGGCATTTGGCATTTGGCTTAGGGGAAGCAGGAAAGTTTGATTCTTTCTGAACACATCAGGCCACCAAGCTGATGCACAGACGTTCACATTTTTAGAGCAGCTAACCAGGAGGGATGATGTGGGGGCTGGACAATGAAGCAGGAGATAATTGTCTGCCATTTCACATCACAGCTCTCCCCACATCTCTTACTTGAGTGGTTTTTGAACAGGGATTTAATGGTCTTCTGAAATAACACTACATCTGTGTCTAAAGAGAGCCTGGTTATCAGCTGACAAGTTCCCTTTGACCATACCCTTAAAAACACTTATACAAAACTAGAATGACTTTGTTTTTGCTGGTCTAGCTATCTGTCCAAGCGCACCTCCTTTATAGCCCAAACTCAGGTCAACTTTTGGTAGACGTTTTCCTGCTGCCTGGAGATGTTTGGAGGGAGGTGAGGGAAAAACTGAGGTATCCTTCCATTCTTGCCTCTGAATGTGTTCTGTAGGGTGCAGGGTTATGATATGACAGGGACAGCTGGGGGTGGTGGTGGGGGGCACAGCAATTTACATTTTGTGCTGGATCAAGGACTGGTGTGAGAAGGAACCGTATATATTTCTAAGGGAACTGCTATATCTGATCCCATTTTTCACAACTGGACTCTTGCCAATAGGTGTTTGCCCCTAAAAAGCAAATCTCCAACCCAGTCTACCCAATCGGACAACCTTACTTTCCTAAAAGTATGCTCACGTTGGTTACAGAGCAAGGAAGAGTCCAGAATGGGATTTCCAGCGCCACCTTTTCAGCTTGTTCTCCCCAGGGCTCCGCGACTCTCCCCACCGCGCCCCCAATAAACGAACCGGCATATTTACAAAGCCGATTACACCACATCGCTTCCTCATTTCCCAAACGGAAACGTTACAACCGGCTCCTCATACCCTCGGAATCAAAAACACGTCCCAAGGACTTCGACAGGTCTTTCGCCCGGGTGAGGACATATGTAGACGCCGGCGTTTTTAAAAACCAACTGTATTTGAAATGCTTGCACCGCTGCCTTGCTTTCAAAGCCATCCCTCCCAGAATTTCCCCGCGTGGCTGCAGCGACCGAAGCCCCGTTTCCCCCGAGTCGGCCACGTCTCGCGGAACATCCGAATGAGCTCACGTCTGTTGTCTAAACAATGGGGCGGGGGCGGGAGGGGGACTTTGGCGGGTCGAGGGGCGGGGCTTCCAGTCAAGGAGAGCCCTCTGGCTCCTCTTTCTCGGCACTCTGATTCTGAACTTGAGTTGCCGTCCGCAGGCGAGTCAATCCTCGCCGCTCGAAAGCCTTTGCTGGGAGAAACTTGCTACCGCGGCGGCTCTTTCGCTCCCTCGCCTGGCCCTGATGCGATCGCTCCCGGCTTGCCAAGCTCTGGGGCAGAAGCAGAAAATCCTCGCCTTCGGAATCGTCCGAGAAAAGCCTTCATCTCCCGGGCGCCCGAGTTGGCAGCCCGCCTCTCAGCCTCGTCCCAGCGCCTCCGCACCTTCAGCCGGCTTAAGGTAAAGACCACCTTCCCCACAATGCGACCTTCGCGAAGGTGCCGGGACTACAGCTCCCAGAAGTCCCAGGCCGCGCGCCCTTTGGGAAATCGGGGGGAGCAAGAAGAGGCAGGAGACTCTCTATTGCCATGTAGGAGTCCTAAGGCTGTTGAGCCCCAGTCGGATTTTTCTAAATCGGTGTTTCTCAGACGTGGATCAGCAAGTAGAGATGCAGAGGAATGCAGGGACCGCGCAGTTAAATGAGCACTTCCTCTCCACGTCGGTGCGCTTAAAAACCCTTCTGGTTCATTCTTTTCGATGTATTTGAGGATTATAGGTGCGTTCGGTATGCTTTCTCATCCCTCCTATTTTTGGAGGCATTTTAAAACTAAATGTTGCATCGAAAATATTAATCCATTTAGCACTTGGGTCATTCCGTGTGCCTGATGACATGATAACAGCAACACTAAGCAGAGACTTGCTGCTTAAAACTTTTCTACAGTATAAATCTCTATTAAGGGACTCCTACGTGGTAATAGAGAGTTTCCTGCCACATCACCCCCATGAAGTCCCATAACCACATGTCCTATTTGGGGCTTGTTTGTGTGAGATCGTGGTTCCCCTTAGGATGGCACACATGGACTCACAACAGCGGCAGCTGAGATCTTTCATTTTTGTCAGTTTTCTGAGTTTTAGTACTCCACTGCTACGTATATTATGACTGCTGGGCTTTAGGGTACCAGTTTTCAGCCACCAGATCCTGTTCGCTGGGGCAGAGGCAGCCAGCAAGCTGTGGCTGGGTGACAGGTGGTTAACACGAGGCTGGAGTGGGATCACCTGCTAGACCTTCATAGACCACAAATGGAGAACCACTTTCCTAAATTAACCTTCCTCCCAACATTCACCCCACAGAGCAGGTCAAATATTTTATATGCTTCTGACCAAAAGAAGAATAAAGTAAAGTAGAACTGTTACTTCCATGAGTTGGAAATGTGCTGGAATATTTGCAACCACTTCACAATGCTTACGCACTTTCTATATTCAATAAACTACTATTCCAAAGACTTTTTCTTAAGTCAGGTATCCCCATCCTATACGTAATTCTTCCATTTAATTTTTGTTTCTGTGAATAACTTTTATTTGCTACATTTCATTGTAATTTTAAGCACTTTTCTCTATCAATATTATTTGGAATTTTATTTCTGTCATGTGACATATTAGTTATCTCATCCAATTTGTATCATCTGCAAATTTGATAAATATTCTGTATTTATTCTGGATTCTGCATCATGTAAGTCATTAATTAAAAAAAGAAGATGAGTAAAACACTTAGGACTAAACCCTGAGGCATTCCACTTACAGGTAGTCCTCCTTTAACCTCACAATTGGGACCAGAATTTAGGTCATTAAGTGATGTGGTCATTAAGCAAGATGTCACATGACCACTTCACTTAGCAACTGCAATTCCAGCATTCACGGGATTGAGAATCACAGGTCATTAGGTGAGGCAACTTCCTGCTGGTTTCCCTCAATCAAGTCAGTGGGGAAGCCAGCAGGAAGTTGCAAGACCCAGGCATTGCCAGGTGGGGGAGGGGGTGCATGGGAGGGTTAGGGAGGGTGCATGGGTTGCGGTGTGGGTCAGGTGTGCAAGGGCTTCAGAACCCCTTGGATTCTCAGCCCCAGACTGGAGAGGCTTCTGAATTTCTGGAGCTGAATATCTTCGGTGGCTGAAAATCCTGCTTGGATTTTGTCACGGGACATTTTTAGCCAGTCCTCAGAGTCGAGAGGATTCCCTTTTGTCTCTGGGGGCTGGCTGAAAAATCTCAGTGCTGAAATCTCTGGGGGCTGGCTGAAAAAGCTCCATGCCGAAATCCAAGCAGGATTTTGGTAGGGAACTTTTTCAGCCAGTCCCCAGAGATGAGGAAGAGTCCTCTTGGCAGGTGGCAGCAGCTTGTGACCTTCCCTGCCAACTTCCCCATTGATTTTCTGGAGAAGCCAACAGGGAGGATTACAAATGGCAGTCACATGATTGTGGGGCACTTGGCAACCGGTTGCAAACCAATTGCCAAGGGCCCAGATTGTGGTGATGTGACTGTGGGGTGCTGCAGTGGCCGTAATTGTGATCATGGGCTGTAAGTCCCTTCATTCAGCACCATCGTCAATTCGAAAGGTCACTGAACGAATGGTTGTTAAGTGAGGACCGCCTGTAATACCTTTCTCCAGCTTGATGAGGAACCTTTAACAAAAGCTTCATGAGTGCAATTTTCCAGCCAGTTATGTGCCACTATACGGAATGTATAATTCCTTACTTAATCTATTACCAAAGTACCAATTAAAAATGAGATAAGGTGATTGTTGAACAATTCATGCCGACTTCTGATAATTACCACATTGTTTTTAAGATGCTTTCAGATTGTTCTCTTTATAATCTATTCTAGAATCTTTTCAGATATCAGTGCCTGTACAAGTAGTCCTCACTTAACAACACTAATTTGAACTGGAATTTTCATCATTAAGTGACATAGTCATAAAAGGCAATGTCACATGACCGCACCACTTAGTGACAGCAGTTCCAGCACTTTCAGTTGCTGTCATTAAGCAAATCCCGCAGTGAATCATGATGTCACATGGTCACCATTTGTGACCTCCTGCTGGCTTCCCCATTGACTTTGTTTGTCAGAAGCTGGCAGTGAAGATCGCAAATGGCAATCATGTGACTGCGGGGATGCTGCAACCATCGTAAGTACAAAGACTGGTTGTAAGTACCACGCATTCAGTGCCGTCATAAGTTCAAACTGCTGCTGAACGAGTGGTTGTTAAGCAAAAACCACCTGTAATTCCTCAGATCCTTTTTTCCCCCTTTTTGAAGATAGGGACATTTGTTGTCTTCCAGGCGTCTACATCTGTCAGTGCTCCATTATTTTTTATAGATAATGCCCATCCTAGCTGTCAGTCCATTAGATGCAAATCATCTGCCCTTGGAGATTTAACCTAATTCAGAAAGAAGAGTTTATTTTTCAACAGATGGTGGAGAATTGAAGTCTCCTATCATTATTAATTCATCCCTATTTGAAAGACCTGCAACTAGTTTTGAAAAAATTATTCACATCATCTCCTTGGTTGAGAGATAATGGTCTCTTTTGTTTCTAATTGTTACTCTTGTCCAGCGAGCTTTTTCCTTCATTTGATTTATATGCTTTATGGAGAGTTGCTTCGTCCATATTCAGATTCTGTTGTAGCGCCTGATTGATTAATGGCCTGATTGATTAAAGTCCCCCATTGTGGGGAGATGGGTGGGGACAAATTAATTAAATAATTAAATAATTAATAAATAATAATAATAATAATAATTGATTGATTATGCGCCATCAAGTTGTTGCCGACTCTTAGTGACCACATAGGTAGATTGTAGCACCTAAAAGTGTGTAAAGGTAATATGAAAAAGTGAAGGTGCTGAAGTCCCTTAGTCTGGAGAACAGAGAAAACAACTAACATTCTTCAAAGACACTAAGGACACACATACACTATGGGCTACAGAGATGACACCTTTCTCCTTCCTTTGCTACCTCAGAAAACATAAGCTAATAGTCTTAAGTTACATGCCAGTGATTTTGCTTGAACAGTAGGATGGACTTCTGATGGTAAGTTCAACTTGCAGTGGAGACAATTACTTTTAGTAGTGCTGGGGTTCTATTTATTGGATTTATGTCTTGCTTTTCCTTCAGGAGTTCAAGTGACAACCCTGTCAGGAGGTGGGCTGAGAAAGAGTGACTACCCAGTCACCCAGTGAGCTTCCAAGGCTAAAGGTGAGTGTGAAATGGATTTCACATGTCCTAGTCCAGCACTGTAATAATTCACTACATTGGCTTTTCCTTGCTGTGACTCTTGAAACAGATGCAGCCCTAAACATCTGGGAGTCTTCACTTCTTGCTGGTGAAGCATAATGAGGCTCATATACTAAGCAGATAAAAGCTTTTTTCCCATGCTACAATACAGTGATATCCTGATTTTTGTTTCTTTGATGATTACAAGGTCCTTCAGTGCTGAGTTGAAAGGGGGCAACATTATTTCATGTCAGGGACATTAGTGGTTGAATTGTGATAGAATTGTGAGAACTGGCAATTTTAATATTACACTTAATAGACATAGTCACCAGTTTTATCCTGAAAGTAATATATAGTTGACTGTGAATGTTTTTTATCCAGGTTGACAGTATATATATTGGCCTAAGTAAGATGTCATATAAATAAAACAGAATGGGAGCTGGATTGTAAATAAATATATGTAATAAAAATAAAAATACATTCTCTGTGGTATGCATGCAGGATGTGGCCTGTTCAAGACTAAAATACTCAGATTTACTTGGAAATAATGACCAGAGAATTCATTGGCACCAGCATTGCAAGTGAATGTCTTTAATCTAGAAAAGACATCAAGTGTTTATGATTAACCAATAATTCTACAGTAATAGTCAATTATGTCTAATATGAAAAATAAAATGTAGCATAGGCAAAGATATTCATGAGGTGTGGTTAAAAAATAAGTAAAAATGGCAGCCTGGATGACGCAATCAAAACTCTGCCTATTTTTAATGTGCATCACCCATAAAAATGAGTGGAGCTTTGATCACACCATCGTGGCCACCACCTTGCCTTTTTTGACCACAGCCTGCAGACACCCATGATTATAAGAATGAGCTGCCCTGGAAGAAATCCTGGAGTCACCACCTTAGTTATGCAAATACTCACTTTCTTAAGTCTGATTCCCAGTTCAAAATCTTATATTCAGATGCAGTTTTTTGTGTGAATTACTCATATCCTCACATTAAAAACTAGTGAATCATACTATTTAAATTAGAATTAAAACTTTTTTTTTTTTGGATCTAGAGGAGAAGCTAAGGATAAATACATTTAAAATGTATCCTGAAAATCTGGCAGTTTTGCTATTGCTGATCCTTAGTTTTATCAGCTCAGGTAAGCATAACTCTTTTTACTTTCTTCTTTATCTTTAAGTATGCTATATTAAGGTTGATTGTTTTAAGATTGTCTATGCTATCAGAGGCTGGATGACACTGGCAGATGATACATAAATACCGAAACAATTGAAAGTAGTTATAGGTAATGTTTGAGAAAGATGTCTTGATCGGGCAAGATAAGCTGGCAGTTTTGAATTTGCATGTTTTCATTTCATCATAATCTATTGTGAACTTTATGTAGAAATGCAGCATATCGCAGAACAGGAAGTCAAAAGTGTTTGGAGGTTCAGCATCGAAATATTTGCAAGTAATAAAAATGAACTCATGTCAATAAAAATGGAAAATAAATGTCACCGCAGTATTATCAAGTATTTGATTCCATTTAAGACAGCATTTATCCCCTACTCAAATCATAATATCTTACTGCTCCAGAACTATGCTGGAGAATGTGGATGTACGTGTGTTTAAGTCCCGCTGTGACATGACACAGTTTGAAGTACAGCAAATTAAGAGTGTTATGAGCATCTTTTTGGTAGATCTTCTAACTAGATATTTTCTTAATTAGAATAAGGCAAGAAGATACCATGGGCCAAACTTTGCAAGTTCCTGTGGTATCACTACCAATAAGATGTATTTCTCATATGCTGGTCTATGACCGAAATAAAGTTGATTGATTGATTGATGTATTTCTCCTTCCAACTTGTAATCTGCAAGATTTTGTGACAAAATGCTTCAACGCATGCCTCCTTTAGAGGCTTAGTATTCTCTTTCAGAAGCATGAAATACTCATGAAGTCCCTTGAAAAACACCAACAAATACTATGAATATGACAGATCCCCAGGGGATCTGGCAGTTGGGTAGGGGAAAGATTTTGAAGTCAAAATGGCAGCTATAACATGTATAAAAATGGAACAGGCCTTGGATCACTCTGTTGCAGCTGCCATCTTGACTTGTTTGACACCACCCCTCTGCAGATATGCCGGCAGGCCTCCGGAGTCCACTGGAGATGAGCATCCACTCTAAATAAATAAATATATCAATAAATGCAGACTCAGTGGCTGGTGATTCTGGAATGCTAAAAGTTGTAAATGTTGTAGGACGGTTTTATTAGTCTATGCTAACCAAAATCAGAAGGCGTCTGGTGGTGCCTTTTCCGAGTAACACGTTTTATTAAAATGCTAAGCTTTTGTGAGCTACAGCCCACTTCACCAAACGCAACAGAGTTGTTAGACTGATGCAGTATTTAAATTGGAATGGGGAGGTGTTGGGGGGGGGGGACAGGAAGCCAAGACGAGAAAGGCTGTGTTGCCATTTTGTACTTTTCCTCTCTCTAACATATACATACATGTGTGTGTATGTATGTATGTATATACACACACACATCTTTTTTTAACAATTAAAAGAAAAGGCTGCCATGGATAAGTGGTGCTATAAAGATGAACTATATTAGCACAAGTGTTAGCATACCTCTAATAATAACAGATGTTCTTTCTTCCTATTTTCTAGAAAATACATCTTTATTTATATATGTGTGTGTGTGTTTTAATTTTCTGAAGGAAAGCTTTGCATGTGGCGCTCACCTATTAATGCGCTAGAAGAAGAATACTTTTTACTTTGCTGCTCTGAGGGACCACGAGTTGAAGGACAAGTTGCTCATTGGTATAAAGAAAAAGAAGGAAAACAAGTGTTAGTTCATCGAGAGAGCAGAATTGATTTGAATGGGACGAATTTGCAATTTTGGCCAGTTGTACTGAATGATACTGGAATCTATGATTGTTGTCTCAGGTAGGTGCGCTACATACCTAATGCAAGGATTGTTATTACAGCTTTAAAAAGGAAGTTGTCTTGTTGTTCGTCTCCATTCTCCAGTCTTACGGTCCAACCTCAGTTTCCTGGATGTCGCTTCCCACACCTTGTGGCCAGTTAGCTGAGGAATGGGCAAAGGTTAGCCAGGCTAGTGGAGAAGTCTCTAAAATGGCTGGGTTATGTAGTCCTCTGGTGGTCATGTGGCTGAATCCAAGCAAAGGTTTGCACTAGTAAAACTTGTCATTCATTAACTAGAAAAAGAAAATATGCCTTAGAGTATAAACTGAATGTGGAAATCAAACTTCCTTCTTTAAATGAGAGTTGAAGCTTCCTGAATCAAAAAAAGAGCATTTTGTCCTAAGTAAACTTCTGAAATAGTGCATTACATTTTTGAAAATACACTTTTGGCACATGTAGAGGAATGCTACACATGATATAAATTCTGCATGGCAAAGCATTCCTTTCTAAAGTATTTATTTTGTCCCAGACATTATATTTAAGTGATATTCATATACCCAGTTTACTAATCTGAGATATATCATCTCTTTTGCAATGGAGCTAATAATGTTCCCATTATTAAAGAGTGACAAAATGTTACACAATATTAAACGTTCATCTTTACAAAGTTATTCTGTCCATGTAATACATGTAAGGATCAAGTAATCTCTCCTTTGCAGCAATTTTCAGAATTATGTTGCTATTACTGTAAAGGTCCATATTTGAAAACCCAACCTAAGATGTGTGGACTTCAACTCCCAGAATTCCCAAGCCAGCCATGCTGGCTGGGGAATTCT